AACCCCCCCCCCCCCCCCACTTCATTACAATTACAACGTAAAAAACAAGCAGACAAGTCAACGGACTTTGGACAATTTGTCACGAAATTTGACAAAAGTGATATAAAAGAAAAGATAATAAATAAACAAGAAAATACATCTAATTAAAATTATTTAAAAAAACCCAGCAACTGATATTATAATAATATTTGATTTAATACAAAACAACACCGACACCAGACGTCAAGTGGTATAGAACAGAACGTGTTGACGGTAATAAAGAAAACTTGCACAGCTGGGCGTGTGTGTGTGTGTGTGTGTGTGTGTGTGTGGGTGTGTGTGTGCGTATACGAGCGTGAGCGCGCACGTGTGTGCGGGCACGTGTGTGTGTATGTGTGAGTGTGTGTGTGTGTGTGTGTGTGTGTGTATGTATGTGTGTGTGTGAATGCGCGCGGCACGCGCGCGCGCGTGTGTGTGTGTGTGAACGCGTGTGCGTTCATGTGTGCGTACATGTATGTAACCTCCCTCGAATCCTCCCTTGAATTGTGAAATAACACACGAACATCCAGTCCTATAAGTGAGATAGAATTGTCGAGTGACAGTGGCTTTTGCGTCTTCTATTTCTAGTTTTCTTCCTTTTCTCCTGTCTCTAAGCCCATGGCTGGTCTACGAGTATCTCACTGATCTTTTCATATATACACACAATGTGAGTGTTGGGGGAAGAAAAAGAGCGAAAAAACTCCGCCAACTGGACATCAAAACCAGTCAATAGCGTAAATATAACGAAATGACTTTTTTGCGAGAACAGATGGCTTAATTTTTTTCTCTTAAATCTTATTTCTATTTCTCCAGTATGAATTAATTCTGAGTAGATTCGGTAATTGCAAGCCGACCTAGGTTCACAGACATAAATTATGAAGCTGCTCTGAGAATTTATGGTAAAGGTTGCTGTTCAGATGTATACAGTTGGATAAAGTTAGCGTTCTTAGGGAACATCTATCTGCTTATAATGATTATTTAGGTGGTTTGAGATACTGGACTATCACTATCTAAGTCAATGTCCCAGTGATAAAATAAAAATAACCTGAACTTTCTCATGCCGTCATTTTGTCAAGCTTTTGCAAGGAAACGACATTTCAGCTTATGATTTATAAAAGACCAAGGGAAAGAAATATTTCAAACTTTAAACACACACACACAACCACACAAACACACACACACACACATACACACACATACACACACACATACAAACACACCCAAACACACACACACACACACACACACACACACACACACACACACACAGCAAGACCAAAAAAATAAATTATCATGGTTTACCCAAGTGGATTTTTCCTTATCATGAGATCAAGGAATTCAAACAAGAAACACATGAAGATCACTTGCGAATGCTAAACCTCGAGTACCGTATGCTATTCCAGGAATAAGGGTAGCAGAGATTTTTCTTCTTTATTGCACTGGGAGTTTTGCAACAAGTTTGAAATGATACGTGTGTTAAAGGAGCATCTCTTTCCAACCACATCTCCCTTGCACATATACACATTTCTTTTGCATGCACTCACATACTGAGAAAATAATTTTCAATTCAGAAATCAAATTATACCATATTTTAACATAGGCTTAAATGTTTCCTGAGATAAACGCATAAATATCGTGTTCTGTCTTCGGAAATGCACCACCCCAAGCAGTGATTGAAGATTGACTCTTCAACATAATATTATGCACATATGAAACAGAAATGTCTGAAAAGTCAACATGATGAAAAATAGAATCAAACTTTATAAATCACACAGGACTGTTTTTCACCTTGACTTCTATCGTCTTTTCGGCTCACGAATTCACTGAAATTGGGTAACAGCAAAAATAAATCACCATAAAAAACGAAACTGACATATTATTAGTTAACAAAAAACCAACTGCGAAATGAGGGTAAAATAGTAATAAGACCAACATAAAATTTTCAAACACTCGTTGCACTTGATAACATTACAAACTTTTCATTGTTTGATTTTGATCTAGTGTACTAGTAACCTATGGCTATGACGTAACTTGCTATAGCACGAGATGAGCTTAAAAAACGACACGGTCACATTTATTATCGTTTGGATCTCCTTAAGGTTTAAACCCCCCCCCCCCCCCAATCCCTACACGTCATGCATATGTGATACAAATGAGAGGATTTTTAAAAAATGGGAAAATGGGAAAAAAAGGGGGGGGGGGGTTGAGGGGAAGAGGAGGAGGATTGTGTAGAAGGACGACAACAACCGTCAAAGACAGTACACAACAAAAAGGTTCGCTCCTTTCTCTGAGATACGCAGTAAAACGTCCTCTAAACTGTTGGAGAAGTTCTCAAATTTATTCTCTGTTTGGAAACATCTTAACTGTAATAGATCTATGCATCTTGTATACAAGAAGTAGGAACAAAATTGTTTACTACATCGGTACACAAACAAAACTGTTAGGGGGGGGGGGGGGGCGGGGCTACACCTGATTGCTATCTCGTTTATTACTGCACCGAATTTTACCAAATTTTACACATATAACAAACACAGTAAGGAGTCTTGATATCCGCATTTAAATTGAGAAAAAAAGTTTCGTTTCCATGGATACGGCGGCCATATTGGATTTTGTTGACATGTCTTACATGTCGCACTTATCGCTGATATAAATTGATTGTGTTTTTTGCAGGCGTGTTCACAAACATCAGATCTAAACATTTGTCTGTTGTTTTTTTCCTAAACGAATTAGAAAATTTTTTATGAATTTTTTCCTGAGGTAGCATTCAAGTTTGCGAAAAATCCGTGAAAATTCACACTCCAGACACCGTCAACAAAAATATATTACATATATAAAAAATTCAACAAACAAATTTTTAGTACTACATCTTCTCTTAATTCTGTGAAAATTTCATGAATATTGGATGAAAAATGGTGGAGTTATTTTAAAAAGTACAGAGAAAAGTCGCGTTTTGAGAAAACGGCCGATAGAGAAAAATGAGGAAATGGCGGTCACAAACATGCCCGGTATGGGAAAAAAATCGATTTTTGGGGCTTTTCATGCGATGAAATAGTAATAGTTGTAGGAGAGGCTGAGGAATCTAAAAATGCCTACAGCTCAAATTCCATAATTTTGGACCGAATTTTGACATGGGTTTTCTAGGACATTAATTCTTTCGTAGAGAGTGAACTATTCAGTTGAGTATGCCTACTAACGATAGATTTATCTTTGCTGCCGGTAGGATATTAAAAGCATTTTTCAGTCTACAATAATGTGTCTATACTTTTGTCCCTTGCACTTGATTGTGATTTCCAACGGATAACATAAGCAAGTATGAGAAGAGTACCCCTAATGTCGTTTAAGGATTTGCTGATTTTTTTCCCATTCAATGAGAAGTACAACAAAATAAGTTCTGAGAGAATGAGTATAACATACTTAACACGAACCAGCATAAGAAAACTAGACCATTAATAATATCATCAACCTTTCATAGTCCAGTCATTTCAATTTCAACACGAGTTAACACGAGTTAGGTTGTTCATAATTATTTATAAAACAAGTCAGATTTCTAAGACTTTCATCTTTTACACGCAGCATGCGATACTTGCAATAATGCAATCTAAGTTATTCCAAGATTAGCTTTATGAGTAAATGTACACTCAACGGAAGCAAAATCCGCAATAAAAGCCTCAACTTAATTTGACCCCATTTTAGACATAATCTCCGTCATACACAAAGCGTTATTCTTTCTTGAATATTTTTCTTTTACAATATTTGCCAGTAGCGCACTCTATGAACTTGTAAGTAGTAGAGACCTATACCACATTACTTTTCACTATGAGCTGAAAGAATTGTCATTTACTAACACGCTGAAGACTTAGTAAACATGCCATGACCACCGGTTTTTAAGGTTCCTGAGGTCTCAAAGGAGACAACGGGGTTCAAACTATCACAGACTATAACAGTAGTTTTATTTAGGACTCTCACATCATTGCCTCTCCTCTACATACAACAAACAGAAGCGTCCATGATCGTCACACTTTCTATTACTTGAATCTCATAAATTACTTGGATCTCAGAAAGTCACACTAAATTAATAAATTCAAGAGTCTACGTGAAAAATTAGTCTCTGACAGAAATAAGATAACGGACAATACTTCAGATCTCAATACAGTTGTCAAACAATTCAAAACTGAATTGTCCCAACTAGTCTCCCCTTCTATCACAAAACAGTTGTCTTATTTTTTCTGCTTCTTATAGCAAACATGGCAATTAAATAAATAGAAGAAAACAGTGTCATCTTTTGGGGGGAAAACACAGACACACGAATTGTCGATAAGAGAAAACAATTAGATCCATATTCGCAAGTCAACACATCCACACAGAAGTTAAAAGTCCATACCAAACACCAGAGGAACTAAATTATGTTAGTTATGTAAAAACTTCGAACACCCCTGAATTCTTTCACCTTTCGTACACCTACAACTGTAGATTCGTACAAGCTGACTATTTGGTTTTCTCCTTTAGAACTTGGCCAACTTTTGGATTTTTCTTTTCGTTTTTTCTTTAAAAAATGTTCACCCCAAACAAGGGTGAACTGCCGAAACAACCTCATGTTCTGCCCTTCTGAATTATCGTCTTTGATTACAGTAAGACACTGAACTTAACAAAAACTTCCAAAATAGACGGCCCTTTATGTTAGACGTCTGCGTCCTCTGAAAAAGTAGAGGGTGACATGCTATCTCTGTCTCCTGCACCCTGGGGGCAGGAGTAAACACCAAGGTAAGCCGAGTCTAAGGAAGTCCTTGCAGAACCCAGGAGGGAACTTTGATCAGTCTGGAGAGACGAAACGGAGGTCAATGAACTTGAGCGAGCGCTGTGTCTGCCCCACGGGGAGGAGCTGTCTCCACCACTGAAGTCAAGGTCATTGCTGTCGGCACTTCCCAGGCAGCACAGAGTATAATAATTATTGACGTCTGGCGACGCATTGGCAGGTTCCCCGCCGATTTCGGATTGAGATTCATGGGACTTAGAATGCGACGCCAAATGGGGCTCTTCTATTTTATTTTGAGCAGAACGAACATTTAGTGCGTTCCCACAACTCTCAGGGCGAAAAGTCCTGGATGTTGCTTGAGAGTTTCCATCAGATTTGTCAAAATAATAAAGTGAGTCTGGTCGAACACAGCCGCCGAATTTCCTTCTCATCGGGGAGTCACATCCTTCTGAAGCGGTTCTAGTTTTGGGAGTCTTACGGGGGTTTACAACTAAATTCGCCGGGGGATTTGTGAACCCGCCGGCCTCACACACAGTGGCTGACCTTTGAATATAAGTTCTCACGTTGTGGCCGTAATTGGACCTGGGCAAACTCGCACGGCGTCTTGTTTGTTGCAGGCACTCACCGAGCATAACACCATTCACTTCCGCTAAATGCATCATGCTGAGCTTTGATGATGATGTGATGCCAAGGACAGTCGCTGTGTTGTCTGATTTTGTCAGCAGATGGGGACTTCCGTCTCCGTCAGCAGCGGAGTCTGTATCTGAGGCCTCGGAGTCAGAATCTGATGAGTAATGGAGGGAGCCGTTATCACTCCCCGAACTGTGGGAAGAACACAGGGGAAGATCATTAGAGTTCACATTCTTTTGAGGGGTCAACCGAAAAGAATTCCTCCTAACTTGACAGGCGCCGCCATTATGCACGAGAGGAGGGTTCCCCCCCACGGTTGGCTGCTCAGAATAAATGGGGTCACCCGATGTGGCTCGTCCCAGCTGGGTTTCCACACTCATGCTTCTCTCCAGCTTGTTGATGGGGATGTTCTTCTGCATGTCGTGGACTATGGTGTTCACTCGGTGGAGCTCCTGCCAGCGCAGGGAGCGGTTCATCCCGGAGAAGGGGCTGTTGCGACTGAGAACAGGGGAGTCCACTCTGCTGCCGGGCTTGGAGCCAGAGTCGTGACTCAGCCTTTTCACCACGGTCTCCAAGTAGCTGATGTGAGCTTTCGACTCTTGCAGCTCGAGATTTTTGTCCAGAAGCATTTTCTCGAGTTGTTGAACCTGCAGACACATAATAATATGTTGTTTCAAGTCATAACTATTACTTTAATTGTTACCGCTTTTCACTACAAAAAGGAATCGCAAGCGTACGGAGGGAAGCATTCAGTGGTCCGATTCGTTTCATATCATTTCCAAAATATCTAATTATTTAGCATGGACGGGAATTATTGACACCTCCCCCCATCCCATATCAACAACCGGTCATCTTATCTACATAATGCATTACCATGAGAAATGAGAACAGAGAAATGTGAGTAACGTATGCATTGAATGTCCTTTGTACTCATCAATTTACTGTATTGCTTCTGACAAAATGTTTAATCTTTTTGTTTTGTTTTGGTAAGTGTTTTACAGCACTCGCAACTGCATAAGGCCATATGAGCGCGAGGGACACATTAAACATTTTCAGTTTGGTAAGAATTAATTTTGAATTTTGCCCGGGTGGTGACCGAAGGCTTCTCTTGATCGATTTTGGACCACCTAAGGTTTAATCTTTTTGCCTGATCTAGTGACATACCTGCCTTTGAAGGGTGACGAAACTCTCCTCCAGTTCCTATGAAAGATAACATAAAATAATACAATTTAAAGCAACATTCGCTACTCGCGCGTGTTGGGCGTTCGCTTTAAATGAAGGCCCATACAGCCCAAAGAGAACGTTTGCAGAAGAGCATCAGCCAGAGGAGCTCGATATGAAAGCCTCTATTCCCCCCACCCTTCACCCCAAAAGCCAACACTTCTATTTAAAATGCAGATTAAGGAGAACATTTTTAATTAATGGGGCATTATCATTGGATAAAGAGAACGACTGGCAGATTTCCAAAACTCATACCATACTCCCTTTCTTTGCTACCGTCACTTGACTCAATCTCACCCCCCTTCTCTCTCTCTCTCTCTCTCTCTCTCTCTCTCTCTCTCTCTCTCTCTCTCTCTCTCTCTCTCTTTCTTTCTCTCTCTCTCTCTCTTTTTTTCCTCTCTCTCTCTCTGTATAAAACACACACACACACACACACACACACACACACACACACACACACACACACACACACACACACAGTGACGCACATAAATTATTTGCAAGCATATGTCACAGTGTGTTTGTGTATGGGTGAGAGAGAGAGAGAGAGAGAGAGAGAGAGAGAGAGAGAGAGAGAGAGAGAGAGAGAGAGAGAGAGAGAGAGAGAGAGAGTGTGTGTTTTTAAGACTAACCAAAGTCACCACCGGAAACCCACACATAACTATAACTCCATAGATTAAGGAGGTGACAGAGAACGTGTTCTATACTTACGGCATTTTTCGATTCCTTCAGTTCATAAACCGCTGCTTTTAGCTCCTGCAGATCGGATGCTAGTGGGAAGAAAATAAGTTATGTTAAAACATGTGACATGAGACAATTAATTCTTGTAGGCCCACTTGTCTGTCTGTATGTCTGTCTGTGTGTCTGTTTGTGTGTCTGTCTGTGTTTCTGAGTGTCTCTGTGTCTGTCTAGCTATCCAGCACACACACACACACACACACACACACACACACACGCACGCACGCACGCACGCACGCACACACACACACACACACACACACACACACACACACACAATCTTTCGCTATAAAAGATCACTATGTTTGTGTGTGTTGGGGTTTGAGTACAATATCAGTGCGTCTGTGTCCGTGAGTGCACGTGTGTGTGTGTGCGTGTGTGTGTGTGTGTGTGTGTGTGTGTGTGTGTGTGTGTGTGTGTGTGTGTGTGTGTGCGGGTGCACGCGCGTCTCTCTCTCTCTCTCTCTCTCTCTCTCTCTCTCTCTCTCTCTCTCTCTCTCTCTCTCTCTCTCTCTCTCTCTCTCTCTCTCTCTCTCTGCGTGTGTATGTGTGTGAGCGCGCACGTTTCGCATCAGGGTTTGTATTCTTTTCGCCTTCGCTACTTTTATGGTTTTTCATATTTCCTTTTGTTTGTAACAGGGTTTTTCACACTCGCGATCGAAGATCCGAAAGCTTCTACAAATACAATTACCAAGGGTTGAGTACCATTGTTATCGACGTCATCATCGTCGTCATCGTCTTTCTGCTCCTTCTCCTCCTCCTTCTCCTCCTCTTCCTTCTCCCCCCCCCCCTTTTTTTCCTCCTCCCCTCCTCCAGCATTATCAGACAACAGCTTGTCAAAAGTACTAATAAAAAAAAAAAAACGTATTCAAAAGTTGAAACAATCTATTAAGTTGCATGACTTACTTTTATCAGCGAGCAGTTTGACAAAGCCTTCTTGTTTCATGACCCGGGCAAAGACTTGCTTCGCGGAGCGTCTCCCTGGCATGGAGGAGAAGACTGAAGGACGGGGAGATGTGCTTCGGCTTTCTTCTGTGTCTGTCGGAGTCATTCTTTTCGTGTTGTTATACCTGAACAAAGGTTAGGAAAGAATTGCCATGTGTTTTGCTCCTTCGCTGTTGTTTGTTACTTAAAATTTTTTTTAAAAATCGATCTTAAAATGGTGGACATAGCGGTTAAGTAGTAGTGCTAAAAATGTAGCAGAAGTAGGCCCCAGTAGTAGTGATGGAGTTGGAAGTAGTAGTTGTTGTTTTAATATTATTAACAGAAGTAGCAGTAGGAGTGGTAAAAGTATAGCGCAAGTAGTCGTAGTTGACATAGTGGAGGTTATAGTAGTTGTTGTATAGTGATGATAGTCGCAGTGATAGTTTAATCCTTGAAGACAATAAAAATGGCCTAGAAAAGGCAATTGTACGAGTTTTTAAAATAGTTTTTTTTTTTTTTTTTTTTTTTTTTGGGGGGGGGGGGGGTTATATTGGATTAGTTTTGTTGTTGTATTTTGTTTCTCTTGTCAACTCTGCAAGGTTATACAAGATGCGAGGGCCTCCGAGGACAAGATCAAGATATGCGGAAAACCCCGACAACCCCATATTCAAGAAATCGCTCTCGGCGATTCGAACTAGAGCCATCTGCAACATTGATTAGCACAGCGTTAACCGAACTAACGGCGCACCCTCGCAGCGATGAGACCTCCTACAGAACTTGAGCAGATCAGATACTATTGACAGCTTCAGTCTGTAGATCAAGGCTACATCCATCTACAGGAGACAGTTTTGATGTCGTTATCACTGTTTTTCCCCTTGTTGTTTTGAAATAGACTTAAGCGGATTTTGTAAGTGTTAAGGTAGTTTATAAGAAAGCGTTCTCTTTTTGAATGTCATGAGACATGCTCGTTTTGAAAGTGAGCGGCGCTGGAGGTTTTGGATTTCTCCTCTTATGTTTGCACATGCCACATCTGTGAACTGAGAGTGCATTCCAACTTCAAACAAGTTGCAATCATCATTATTTCTTCGACCTGATTTTTCTGTAATTCTGTCGGAAATATTATTATCTCAACAGATAATAAAAGTTCACGCCAACAATTGGAGCAAGCTGTACAACTGTCTCCCCAAAGTTGTTCTCGTATCGCTAGAAGTTGAAAGAAAATCATTGTTAATCTCTTGCGTCGAATCGACATAATTTTGATAAATTAAAGAAGCGGGCTGCTTTGACCATAACTATTGGGGCCAATCCGCACTGCAGACGATACAGTACCGGACCTCAAAAGAGAAACGGAAAAAACTTAATGAAATGAGCTTCACAACGTCAGAATCGAAATTACGCCATCTGTGTGCAGTAGGGACGTGGTATTAGACCCAAACCTAGGCTTTTAAAATCAAAGAAAACCTAGGCTGTAACTGTAATATCACAGACGTTAATTGGATAAGAAGTAAAACAAGGGGGGGGGGGGGGGGGGGGGAAGAGCAGAGTCTGGAATTAATTAAAAGAAAAAAAACAAAACAAGAGCGATTTTCTTTACGTTCGTTCGGCTAACCTTTACTGACATATTTTTATTTTCTTTCCTTTGTTTTCTTATGTTAAAAAAAAAACAACCCAACAACCTACAGATAAACGGGGGAGGAAGGGGGAAGGGTGAACGTTTTTCAACTGAACAAGATTTCGAAAAATCACTCATAACCCAGTTGTCCACATTACAGTCCATCTCAGTCGATGAGAAATGACAGGTGGTATCAAAAGGAAGTTTTTGCTTTTAATCGAAATACGCACGCAGCTATTTTCAGAAACTTACCTTTGTCGCGCATATTCTTCCAGGACTTTCTTTGCATCAGGGTACTCTGTCAAAGCCTGAAACAGAAACAAAAGACCGCTTTGTTACGATAGAAAACGTCGCAGAGAAGATGTGATAAACGAACATCTTGCCAATATGTATGATACTTTGAGCCTCGTCACCACTAGTTTGAAACCTCACAGCTTTCAGTGAACCGTTATAGTGTGGGGAAGCAAAATTAAATGGTTGCTTGTTTATAGAGCCTGTTGAGATTTGAACATGCGTTATCTTTAGTTTTTCTTATCACGTTAAATAAGCTTCAATCTTACTCAGGCCTTATGTAATCTAATACCACTGTTTTTGAGAAACAGTAAACAAAATCAAGGCGAGGGTTCGGTTTTGGTTTATCAACAATTCCAATGCAAAAGAGCAATAAGAAGTCGTAAACTTTTGGGTTTTTTTTCTCAAATAAATAGCCCCCCTCCTCCACCCTTCCCCGCTTTGTTTAGTGTTCATTTAGTCCTATGTTTAATGAAGGCCTCCAAAAAACTAACACAAAGCAATACCACAAGAACCTGAAGAAACTAAAGAGTGTTATGAATGTAGGCATAATGGCATTTCAAGTACATGTTTGATAGTTTGTTTCTTGTTTCTTAAAACAAAAATCTTGTTCACCAACAGTCTGTGCCACAGTGGTTTGCCCAACACAAGTAGCACTGAATTCTTTGGGTTTCCCTACAGAAAAAATATGTCAAGTAGTAATCAGCAAGGGGAAGATGTACACAGAAACCTATAAAGACATACTTTCTCTAGTAGTATGCAGTAAGCGGAAGACTTACAAGCATCAAGTCTCGGCGGGAGAGGCAGAGGAGCTCCGAGAATCCAATAGACCTTACGTCAGCGGTGCGTCTGAGGATAGAAGAAATAACCATTTGTTTAGAATGTGCTTTTTGCTACTGTATTTGCAGGCTACTGTTATATGACGATTTGGTTGTCATATAAAATAATTTTCTATTATATCTTCTCAACAAATACGGAACGATTTAAGTCGACTTAAGCCTTCTTCCAACTTTCCTTCTCAATTTCCCCCATTTCTTTGTCCACATTAATTATTATTTTCTTCTATATTATGTGTTTCTTTTCCCGCTTCTCTATCTGTCCTTTTTTGTCCCCCCCCCCCCCCCCCCGCCCAGGGGCGAAGCGTCTATATAATCAAATAATCACTGCTTCCCTTTCTAATTTTGAAACATTGTCGCTGTCAAATTCACCTAAAAACGTAACCTCATAAATTAAATGTAAAAAGACGTTCATAATACTCATAATCAACAATGAACAGTATGCCTAACATTCAAAAAGGTTTCACTGCCACAGAAATAGCCTGCTCACCCCTCTCGGGCCACTCCATAAGCAGTCACAAGCTTTGATTAAGTAAGCTTAAAGTGAGGCTGGAAGAGTCTACCAATAGAGTTGAAGGGAACATGTGCATAGCAGTCTAAACTGTTTCATAGCTACAAATACCCTGTCTATCCCTTTGGGGCCACAGTTATAAGCAATCACAAACTCTGATTTTGTAAGCTAACTATTACACTGGTCGAGTCTACCCATAGATGTACACGGGGTAACTCTATGAGTCTACCTCACAAATGTGAGGGAAACTAACTCCTAACAATCTCTTGACTGTTGGAAGTTCTTGCTTTTTTACCTCGACTTTTTACCGTCCTATAATCAGATCGTGACCTCGATTATGACACCGTCTCCTGACCGCGAAAGGCTAGACAAAAAAACAGCCAAATGTGAAATTTAAAAAAAGGATAATTGTCATATTCTACCAAAGAGTTAAACTCACGGGTAGATCTATAACATATGGATCTAGTACTGACATCTCTGCTTCTTTGCTTTGTGTTTGTGTATTCACATCTAAAGTTAAATTTAATTGTAGTTGGAATTAATATTTAATAAGATACTTTCCCGATTATTTTGGCGGTTGAACATACAATGTGAATTCCGGATTTGTTTTCATTCACAACTCAAGAGTCGCGCCTCGAGTAAGATTCTTGTGTGATATCTACAGGCCATATCTGGTCCCGTTTCACTTTGATCACCCTGTCAAACATGTCAGCCTTCGTCCCTGCCCCCCCCCCCCCCTTCCCTGTATGTGCAGGTGTATTAAGTCTCTAAGCAGCTGATATAAGTTTCCTCATTGAATGTAAGACCTTCTCTCCCATCTCCAAAAACAAGATTAAATAGGATTAAGACAAGATAATAACTAACGTCTGCAGTATAATGGTGAGGTTCTTCATTGTTTCACACGGAAACGATGAGCTTGGTTACCCGGCGGGGAAGTTACGTAATGGAGTAGCTCCGTTTGTCTGTTAGGACGCTGTATTTCCTTCAACCTATGCTGGCCCTGACCGATAGATTGGGGACAGATCGTTCTTAAGTAATCCAAGGCCCTGCACACACTAGCTGGTAACATTTTCACTCCTGGTACGATTGCAAAGTGTGACGTCACAAAATAGTTAATAGGCAGTGTAGAGAAGCAGACGGGAGAAAATTTGAAAACTCGCAGTCGTGCAAGGAGTGGAATTTTTCGTAGTGTATGCGAGGCCTAAACATTTTAAATGATAAGATAAGGCGAGACAATGTTCTTACTTGTTTTGGCCATCGTCCAGTTTGAGAAGGCTGATCTCCCCAAAGAAGTTTCCCGGATTCATGACGGCCACCTGCTTCATTCCTCCTGACTCGCCGTCTGGGAACAGGATCTCCACCTTGCCATGGTTGATGATGTACATCTCTCGACCTATGGGGCATCATCATACCAAAAACAATTAAGCTTACATACTAATGTACCGTTTGTACCGAGTAAGGCCCAGCGAAACGGGACTCGTATACATGTACTGTTCGTGGAGAGAAGGATAGGAGCAGAGTTTTATGGCATTGGGGAAATGGTAGCAGAACGTGTGGTAGTTCATTGATTAATTGATTGAATAGATGTTTCACGGCACTATAGACACAATTTTAGTCAGAACGTGCGGCGTGATCATCGGAAGGGGCATGAACACCAAAACCATAGTCATAACATATTTTAGAGCTGTTGCTAAGCAACATCCTACAATATCGATACAACTATAACACAGACAAGCTACAGACAATATTTGAAAAAACACCATCGCTAATGAGCATATAGTGCAGCACCCTCTACCCATCCGGAGTTTGGTGAACTAATGAAAATACGGTACAGTACCTTTTATGAGGATAAAACGACTAACCTGATGGGGATTGTTAGAATTTTAACCCACAACGTATTTTATAACAAGCCCCTACTCGATTACGACGTACCCGGCAAAAGTAAAGTACCTCACCCCCCCTCCCCCCAACACCCTAAAAACTTAAAACACCCCCCCCCCCCCCCCTTTCCACAAAAAAGACCCCCAACAAACCAATTTAAAAAAAAAAAAAGAAGAAGAAAAACAAAGAAAAACATATCTTGTTTGCTCACATCAGCGACCACAGGCCGCTGTTTCTGGTTCATCCAATAAGACATAACACCAACCCCACTGTGACCCTCCCACGGTGAACCCTGAATGGCGTCTTGGTCAAGTCAGTTCTGAGTGTGTGTGTGTGTGTGTGTGTGTGTGTGTGTGTGTGTGTGTGTGTGTGTGTGTGTGTGTGTGTGTGTGTATGTGTATGAAGGGGGAGGGTACTCGTTTACTTTTGATATGTCCCTTGCAACCCTGATGTAAGCCTAGACATACCAATCTCGCCTATACGACAAATGTAGTCTCCGGGCGAGAATATCTGAGGTTTGAGTTTCAGCACCAACTCCCGAAGAAGTCCTTCCTCACACTCGTCAAATATGGACACCTGTATGGACAAACGTAAAACATGAGACTGAAATTAGAAAAAAGCAACCCCCCCCCCAAAAAAAAAGAAGCAAAAGAAAAAACAAAACGAAAAAGTAAAACAAAAACAAAACAAAAAGACCCGCCTCACCCCCCCCCTCCACAAAAAACCCTATCCAAACCAAAGCAAAACAACAAACAAGCAAACAAATAAACAAAACGAAACGCTGTTGTTACAAAGCGTTACTGTCTTTTTAAAAGTAAGTAATGGAGATTCGAAGTTAAAGTTATGATACGAACAGAAGATGAAAAAAAAATGCTCGAGAACGTTACGCGTGCAAGAGAAATAAAACTAAATTATACAGTATCTGCACAGAACAAAGACAAGTTTTCGATCAAATGAATGAATTCAAATTTTCCTTCCTACTCCGTCCTCCATCCTGCCACTACTTTCCCGTCCTCCGTCTTCTCTTTTTGTCATACCTCTCCCCAGCTCCCCCCTCTTTTTTTCATTTTCTCTCGCCATCCCTACTCCTATCGCTCTTTCGCATCCTTATGGGTCATTCCTCCATTTCCTCTCCCCCATGAAGCCTCTCCTGCATTCTCCCTGCTCACCTGCTTCAGAATGTCCAGGTGGACGTGTATAGCCACTTCAGTCCTCAGGCGATCTGGAAGAAACTGTAAAACGTTTGGTTCGTCAATCGCCTTGGTCCTGGAAAGACAATGCACATCAATAGTATAGCTTATTTACTGAATTAGATCTTGTTACTATACTACCCCAAAAAACAACCTTTTACCCATGGAGACACTCATAAAAGCTATTAAAATAGAGATAGAAACACAATATTTCACGGACGTACTAGGTCAATTTGTTGGGACAAATTTACAAATAAAAAATCAAAGTTTTAAGGAAGTTAGAGTATGTTGCTCCATGTGACGTCCGTTTCGGGCGATACACGCTCTGAGGCGCTTGACGAAATTGTCTATGACATTGTCACTCTATATTATATGCTGCATTGGCGTCGCCAAGCCTTTGATGTACATGGATCTTGTGCGGTTTAAACTTCATATAGGTTGTTTTTTTCAACAGAGCCATGTGACTTGATATCAGCCACCCACTTACGTATTGTTACTTTACTCGGTATTTTCTTAGGTCTTTGGTGTTAATTCCAAACTGTTTACAAAAGAGCACTGTATCTTTGGAGTAGCCATGGCTGCATCAAAGGTATTGTTTTTGTTACGTATTTATTCATCTTCCCGATGATTCAGCTTGCTTCCTGCCAATTTTTGCGTGGATTGTCCTCTTTGGTGCAGAGTTACAGGCTTCCCCGCGGGTAAACGTATTTTTGGGTCATAGGTATGTCACGTAGGTGATCCAAAGCTAAGCCAAATAAGTTCTATATAAAGATAACATATGATGTGATATAACTCAGTGGTTAGCCATACGGTTTAGATAAAGGATGAATATTATTTCATGATGGCTTTGCAGTACTGATTTGAAGATTTGCTCCAAAACTGTATTTACGAAGAAATATGCACGATTTATATAAAAACATCAATAAGAAGGATATAGGCAAAGACATAAATTTAATTTTTACGCGGACAAAGATAGAAGGAGGAAGGTAAATTCAAAATCTGAGGAAAAAATGGGTGGCTGAGGAAAGGGATGAGGTTCGGAGGGTGGGGGACTTTTGTTTTCAGAAGATGGGGTAGCATCTATTGATGATACATAGCGTCTACATACTTTATGTTCTCAGAAATCTGTTACTGTTGACGAATAAATAAGAATACAGACAGGCAGACAGAAGGACAGATCCAAGCACAAACACACAAACAGCACACACACATACTCACATAGACATGTACACACACACACACACACACACACACACACACACACACACACACACACACACACACATACACACACATATATACACACACACATACACACACACACACAAATATATATATATATATATATATATATATATATATATATATATATATATATATATATATATATATATATATATATATATATATATATATATATATATAAATGTATGCCTATATATCAATATCAAAAAGTGACCTGTCCCAGGTATATTCCGCCCATCTCTTGATGCGAGTCTGCAGATGGTCCGGGACGCTACGATGATCCATGTAGAACTTGATTTGGTCCATTCTGACACAAAATTTAATAGTAATCAGAAGTCAAAAGATAAAACAGAGTGCACTAAAAAAGAAAAAAACCCAAAAACAAAACAGACAAAAAGAAAAAGAAACAAAAACCAACCCAAATAGAACTATAAAGTGTTAGTTTCTTCTGAAGGAAATTGATGAATAGACATTTCGGCTGCTAACAAATTCAGTCGCTGACTTTCCTTAATAACCCTTTGTGAGCTATAGGTTAAAGGGTCATCGAGTTCTCCCTTGCGCAAAAGACAGTGATACCACAGCAAGTGTTCTTCCTCACAGATTAGACATCCAGGACAGTGTCGTTGTGGAACCGCCCAACTGTTCGAAAAAAATGCAACTAGCACTGCTGGGTATGGGACCGACGGCCTGAAAGCCCAACATCACTCAATCAGAAAAAGAACCCCCCCCCCAACTAAACACAATAACAACAATAGCAACATTAACAGCATCAACAACAACAACAGCAATAACAACAGTAACAGCAGTTTAGCAGACGGTGGTCCTGGGGAGAATTCATTTCTCGGTGTCGCAGATAGGCGCAACAGAGAAATTTTTACTGACTTCGCTGCCCCTTAAATCCATCTGCTATAACCACATCCAACAACAACACCAACAATAACAACAACAACAACAACAACAACAATAACAACAACAATAACAACAACAACAACAACAATAACAACAACAATAACAAAAACAAAAACAACGTCAACAACAACAACAACAGCGCAGCAACAGCAACAACAACAGCAACATCAACAACAAGAACAAAAACAACAATTACAATAATAAACGCTTACATCAACATCAACAACTACAACAACAAACACAAATATACCAACGCCACCACCACCAGCACCAGTATAAGTTCCACAGCTTTACCTGGCTTGAAAGTCTCGCCTGGCGGCGTTCATGTTACTGATGACGTCACCAACATTGCCGACCACTGCCGCAAAGACGAAGACTCCGACGAGAAAGGTGAACCCAGTGAAGATGTACTCCTATAGACAGATAACGGTAGGAACAGTTGGAGAGGGAAGGAACTTTGTCCCAGGTACATAAAGCTCATCTTAGTCGACAATGTCCAAGACTGCAACCCATTGTCGAGGAGAAAACTAATAATTGTCTTAAACAGATGGATGTCTTGGACAGTGCCATTATAATAATATTGTCAAACGTCAAGGGGAAATGGAAGTGAAGAAGTTTGTATATGTGATTGTCTTGAACAGGTGGCCGTTAAAGTAGGTTTGAGGGCAGTTGGTAGAAAATCTTTGTTTGAAGCAGAACAAAATCTCTCATAAATGTCTACCTCTAACTGTTTCTCTGTGACTGTTTCTGTGAGTCTTTTTGTCTATGCCCTCTCCCATTCCCTCTCTCCCTCTGTCAGAATGCCCCCCTCCCAAAAAATAACTACCCCCCCCCCCTCTCCCTTCACCTATATCCCTCATTGTTTGTGACATAAACAAAGTTCTACTCCTCCTCATCTCTCTCTTCACCTCCTCCTCCTCCTCCTCCTCCTCCATCCTTCTTCACCTATTTCCCTCATTGCTTTGTGACAGGCGTCAGAAGGAACAAAAATAAATGGCCATAGTGAAGTCAAAAAAAAGAAAAAAATTCTTTTAAAAAAAATCTGACCCCCGCCTCATCTCCGCGTCCTGTCTGCCTGCCTCTTTTGACGGAAGATGTCAATATCCTTTTCTTCCCCTCCTTTCTTCTCCTGCTCGAGTTCTCTTCAACTCCTATTTATTTTCTACTTTCACATTTCAATTTTGGGGTGTCTTGGAAAAGGGAGGGCTA